TAACTTTATTATATTAACTAAAAGTTTATACAATCATATTTCTGGAAACAGTTTCTTTTTCATGCAAAAAGAGGGGATGCTCAACTACATCTGTCATGCTGATTAAAATTAAAAATGGAACAGCTGATTAACTTTTAATCTAATGAGTAGATTTTTATGTACTAGCGTGCAATTTTAATTATTCGATGTTTTCCCTGAAATATGCTAATTAGTTAAAATAGATGATAATATGAAATCAGACACAAAAACGCACTTTCTTTAAATAAGCATTTTTTTCCCCATGCGTTTATGAAACTTGTTTTTACAAAAATCATTCCATGCATAAAATAAAGATTTTATAATTATTTTTTTTTCTATCTATCTCAATAATGATCGGAAAATTCTAAAATGCAAAGTATACAAATTTTTACATATTTTAAGTTAATTTTAAATTTAACTGTATAGTTTTAAAAGACAGAATCCAAAGTTTGAATGGAAACGGTCGAATAGTTCTAGATATATGTAAAGTTGAAAAATTCAACTTTTTTTGAAGTAATGAAAAACTTTTTTTTCACACAGCTATTTATGGATAAAGTAATTTCATAATAATGTGCAAAATTGTTTTGATTCGCTTTAATAGTTCCACACATATGGTGCAAAGCACATACAGTAAAATTAACATTAAGAAAATCAAGCTTTAGACCATTCCTTTAAACTAAACTGTATAGACCCTACATTTTTTAATTGCGAATGCCTTCTCGTTTTTAAAGGTAAAAATTTCAAATTCGTCTAAAGAGAAGTTTATTCTCAAAAAGTACTCCTTAGTGTCTTGTTTCGCAACTAAAAATATCATCTGCACTAATTAATTATAATTAGCATATCATAAATTAGAACCTTAAGATTGCATCCTTGCACGAGAAAATTCGATCATTAGATCTAAAGTTGCTTAAACGTTACCATCAATTTGCGCCCTGTTCATTAATATTTAAATTGAGAATGAATTTTCTTATGTTAGCTATCGCTTAGTTTAAAAAAAAAAAAAACGCATGATTTCAGACCTAAATTAGGAACTTTATAATAATTTGTGCCAAGATAGTCGTGCATGTTATGCTTGATCTAATTAAATAATACATGTTTTCATTTATTTCTGGAAAATTGTCCTCGAGTGATGATGCTGATTTAAAAAATGTGCATTGCTATCTCGTGGGCTTAAAAGCTTGACCTACTTCGCCTATTTTAAAACTCACTTATGGCATGCCGAACATATTATTAAAATAAAAACAATCTCGAAATATTTAAGGGTGTATGAATCTTAGTTCTCTATTCTTATTCGAAAAACAGCTTTAAAATTTATTTTTCTAAAAGCAAGTTCAAGTCATTGTCATTATTGAATGATGCGATTTCGAGTACTATATACCAGCAGTTTCCTAAAAGTATTCCGCGTGACCCTAGGGTTCTGTGGAAAAACTAAAGGGGTTCCAAAAGTTAAGATTTTTTTAATCAGTAATAATTGTATTTCTTTCCAATCAATAATCCATAATTTATTTATGTAAATTCTTATTTATGTAAAATACCAATGAAAAAAAGGTAATTATGAAAAGCTTCTGCATTTACAAAAAAATCAAGAAATATCAAGAAGTATATAAAAAATAAATATATAAAAATATAAAATAAATATATTAAAAATATATGCAATGAGTTATATCAAAAAGAGTCTTATTTGTTATGGCTCGGAATTTTAAACCAATATAACAAGAAACAGAATCTTTTTAACCCTTTACCGCAGAATTTTTATCAAACATATTTTTCATACTTTCTTTCATTATTTTACATTACTACAGGACAAAATAAGTGAAAAGTATTATATTTATCATATAATAATTTATGGTTATAAAATACAGCATGAAACACCGGCGTCTTTTTCTGCGTTAAAAGTAAAATCTTTCAAGCGCGACACACTTAAAAGCAATAATTTTTCAAACTTGCACTTATCTGCATTTATTTAGATCAAATCGAAACAGTATAGTCTCTCATTGAAGTTTCTTTAATTTACAAAATCCACTATTTATAAATTTTTGAACAGAAATGAAAAAATGCTTAATTTTTATTTTACATTTTTTAGAACAAATATAATTCCGATTATCTAACAGATTTTTTTATCAGCTATCAGACTGTTTTTTATAATTAAAAAAAATCAAAATATATTTTTGCTTGCAATTAGTGTCAGAAAAAAATAAAATTTATACAAGGAACACCGGCATCCCATCTGTGACAAAAGGGGTAAAACAACTTAAATTCTAGGAAGAAAATTAAACCTTTAAATCCCATATGAGATATGATTAGTAAAAGAAACCTTACTAACTTTAAAATATGCATATAAATAAAATAAAAAATATATTCTGAGAAATCTATGACTTTTAATGTAAAAAGCTTAAAGAATTGGGCAAGATTATTAAGTAACAGTGACATAATTGTCGCTTTTTTATAGCTATAAATTCCAGATCTAGATTTGATAAATTTGATAAGTGATAAGATTTATCCGGATTTTTAGCCTAATAAACAAAGCAATACAAAATATGAGTCACACTACTCTTGTCATTTATTACAAAATTTTTTTCGTTAAGTAGTCATAAAAGTGTTCATAAATCTCTGTTTTATTTCTCTTTATATTCAGAAAGGAATAATTGACGTAAATGCTTGCTAAATTTTAACTATTTGCGTTCCTAATGTGTAAAATTAGAAAAAATTTATGATTTTATACAGCTTAACCAACAGAATGTATAAAGGGATTTCCTGAAAACCTACGAAGACTTTAGTATTAAACAAAAAATAAAATAATAAAATAAAATTTAAAAAAATAAATAATTTTTTGTAATTTTGTAAGAAATTTTCAATAGCTATGTTTTTTTCCTTTTTTTTAAGTTTATTTCAAATACTAAAAATTATCAAGACGAATAAACTCAAAGATAAATAAATCCCTCAATTAAGACTTATTACAACTTCTTAATCTGTTTTATTTCAACAAAAGTAAGCTTATTAAAAAAAAAAATTATTTTTATTTTACCACAATTTCATAAATGGGACATTTCCAATAAATGACATAAAAAAAAATTGTACTGTAATAAAACAATTTCTACAAATACAACATTTTTTTTTAATTAATTAATTTTTTTCTTTTCAATCTTAAGCTTTTGTTGTTACGCCTTTGTATAACAATCAATCAACAACTTTGTTATAAGTTATAATTGTTTTACAAGTCCTGAGAAATTTGAAAGCTAAATTTATCATCTCTCTTTGAGGAAATTAAGTTTCTTGCAATTAAACTTCCGGTGGAAACAACCTTTGGCTTCCTGAAGTGAGAAGATGCTTCCTTGCATAACAGGAACGTGTTACCTGGATTCATGTTACCCAGCGCCTGGGAAAATCAGGGCTTGTTATGCAATGCAGAGAAGCAAACATCACCATGCTCGCACAAAAGCATGGCACGCAAGTTAAATATACTGTTTTATATTATTTTTCAAAATTGACTAAAAATTGAAATAAACAATATATAAATAAAAAAATTTTAATATCTATATGAAAAAGAAGCTATTTTCACTGAGAAATATACCGATTAAAAAAATTTAAACTAAAATAGCATTTTTGAAAAAAACAAATACTTAAAAAGGAACAAACTAACTAGAAAGTCAACGCTAATTATTAATAATGCAACAAATATAAGAACCAGTTTTTCATTGCTTCGAATTTATTAAAAAAATAGCACAGCTATTATATTTTTAATACAGCAAGTTTTATTTTAATACAGCTATAATAATACAAGTTCTATTTTTAAAAAAACTTAGAAAGTCAATTAAACATTTAGCTCATTTATTATTTGTTATTAAAAATGCTGAATCACATAAACAAATAAAATTGCAGAAATTTTCTCTAACGAAAACTTGACGCAATTTATTCTCCATAATAAACATTAGAGGGCAGCACCACGATTCCAAAAATCTTCCATTTTTACGGAAGAGAATTTAAATCTATATAAAAATAACATAATTCTTTTTTAGAAGAAAAAATTGTTTTTTTCCTGAAATGTTATCGAAGGTTTGATTCATGTTTTAACAATTTAGTTCGTAAAAGTAAAATATTAAATCTAACACAGTTTAAAAACAATTCTGACGAAAAGAAACAGTTTGTTTACTTTTTGGCAGTTCCAAAAGCAGCACAAAAAGTTACCGAAACCTATGTAGGTTCGTATATTAATGTCAATGTGGTTTATTACGCTATACAAAATATTTTATAAGTGCAATGCGGAAAAGTAATTACATTTTGATAATAATTCAAATTAGTTTTAAAAAAAAAAGCTATTTGAAGAAAAAAGTATTTGTTAATTGGCTAGCTTGGGTTTCTGGTTTCTAAAATTCCCTATTGTTTTGCACATTTGGTGGAATAGTTATTTCATTATAACAATTTTGCTTTTGAATTAAACTTCATTTTAAACGGCACATTTTGATTAAAAAAAATAATAAAAGTGTAAACAGTATTTAAGTACATTTTTTAAAATAAAAAAAAATTCTGCTAATTTTTAAAACAATATTTCTTGCCAAAAATTCAATTGACTTAATTCATCAATTTTAAAATATTTTTTTAAAAAAAAAATCGAACAATTTGAATAAATNTTTTTTAAAATTAAAAAAAATTCCGCTAATTTTTAAAACAATATTTCTTGCCAAAAATTCAATTGACTTAATTCATCAATTTTAAAATATTTTTTTTTAAAAAAATCGAACAATTTGAATAAATATTGATGTAAAATAGTTTCAATTTTTTTTTCTTACATTGTGTGAATACTTATGTGCAATAATTTCCCAATGTTCAATACTTATGCTATGATCAATACGATTTTTTGCTTTAAAATTCATAGAATTAATTTATTAGAAATAAATATTTTATATTTCATTAGAATTTTTATATTCAATACTTTTTCGCAATGTAAAATTAATATCAGAAAAAATAAAGACAATCCTCCTTACTTGTTTTACGCAAGACCATAATTTCTTGTTCACTTCGTCTAACGTTCCTGTAATATTTTCTTAACATGTTTTGCATTTGTGAACTCGAAGTATTAACAGCTTTTAAATCAGGAAATTTCACCATTCCCAGTTCTTGAAGCATTCTTTGTTTAAAAATATCAAGGGCTTCCCGGGCCTCCGGGTCCAATAAATGTCCCGCGGCTACCGTCACGAGAAGCGTGAGAAAAGCCGTGCAGCTTCCATACATGTCCAATGCATTAAACAACACTAACACCAATTTTTCGCTTTTTAAAACGGGCGAACTTCGATCTGGCGAATCAACTGGCGAGACTTGGCGGAACTTTCCGAGAACTTTCTTTCGATCGATCCTTGTTTCGTGAACGCGCTTTCTTAAATGACTCACTTTGTCAGCGCTCAGGAAAAACTTTCTCCCGCTGTAGAGCGCTCAATTCTACTGGAGAAACTGTCAGAGAGAAGCTCGATTTTATATATCCCAGAAAGAGTAACGATTGCAACTTTTTGGTTGTGAATCATTTCTTTGGAAGAGCACGTGGGTGATCTGGGGCGTATTGCACGGACAATGCTCTTCAAGACATTGTTTATTTTTGTCCGAAAGTTAGCCGTTTGCCGAACTCTCGCTTCAAAACTTATTCTTCAGTTACGTATTTTTCAAACAATGAAGTAAATCGCCAAAGCTTATTAAATAATACCACTAATGTTCCCGATTTAATGCCCCAAAACCCGTAGTGTTGGGTTTCCCTAGCCCTTTCTTTACTTATTTATTTGCGGTTTCATATAACTTTACAATTCAGAGATTTCTGGGAAATGCGTGCGGACGCATAATTGTCTCTAGTGGAAATTCCCACCTGCTTGTCCAGGTATGAACTAAGGGATCATCTGTCAAATGAATATTCGAATCACTCGATCGCTTGTCTGAAGATAATTAGAAATCGGTAAATTGAGCGTTTCCCTATAGCTCAGTTCAATCCAAGGTCAGAATTAACAAAATAATTCAATAAACGAGCTCGGATTAAAAAAGACCAGAATGTTGTATGGAAGGGAATAACCCATATGACGTCACTATATCGGTGTTTTAGTCCACTTCGTTAAAGATCCGAACGTAGATAAACAAGCTTTTTAATGCGGAATGTTTATTTTTTATTTCTTTATTTTGTTCGGGTAGTGATAAAATTTCTTATTAGAGTTGAACGTGGAATTAGCTTTTATTGTTATTTTTTTTAATGCTCTTATTGTCGTGTGGTCTTAAAATAACTTTGTTTTGGTTTGAAAGTGCTTTCCTTTTTAACAAATAACTTAAATTCTCGAAGGTAATTTTCAATTGTTCTCTGCTTTATTGCTTCTTGCTTGTTTTTAGTGGTGTTTATTTTCTTTCAGAAACAAACAATAATTTAAAGTGCGATTTTTTTTCTCATTACATCATAGAATTAATTACTTTGCACTCAATTATTTAATTTCATCTGCTAGTGTCAAATATTTTTTTTTAATCTGCTGAAAAATATGAAATATAATGATCCTTGAAATGAATTTTCAAGAAACCAATAAAAACTGAGGAATATATAATAAAACGAAATGAAAAATGAAACTAAAATGACTTAGAAAGAAAATTGAATAGCATTTAGAAAATATTTAATGACATCTCTAAAATAAAAGGGAGAAAAATCACATTTAATCACCGGAAATTTTAGTACAGTTTTTCACGATAAAGTGATTACTTAAATGTACTATTTTGCAATTAATAAATAACTGTTAATAAACTAATTATAACTGTAATAAACTAAATAAATTATTTAAATTTTCACTTTTGAAGTTAACAAAATATAAAGAAATTAAGCATACTTTAAAATAAAACTTTTTTTAAAAATATATATGTGAAATGAGACTTAAAAATATTGTATGCAATTTATATTTTATTATTTGCAACGAACCTTAGTTAATGCAATTTCGTTTATTTCATTTAGTATAAAAAGTATAAAAATTAGTAATTTGTATTTTTTAATACGAGAAATAATTTATCTCTGCTATGTACTGGCATTGTGGAATACAGTCGAACTCGTTTATAACGAGCTCGGATTTAACGAGAACTCGGATTGAACGAGGGAAACGAGAATATTTGGTTGGATCAATGTTAAGTCTATGGAACAGAAGTCGCTTTTAACGAGCAAGACCCGGTTTTAGCGAGCAATATTTTTCTGTCTTGCATTCTTTTTTCTCAACTTTCTAGTCTTTCTCTCTCATCTTTTTTTTAAAATGATAAGAAATGCGCTCGAAATAAAAAAAAAATAAAAAAAACGCGAACTGAAACTTAATTGAAAGAGACAGGGAACGAGTTCAACGTAAGCTAACAAACTATTTTAAATATGTAGATTAATGAAAAAAATAGATGTTTTGGTAAGAATCTTTTCTTTATTTTTCTTTCCGTTTATTGTTTCTTTCGTTTAAAACTGGCGCNGTATTATATATATATATATATATATATATTATATTTTTCATCATACATTGTGTACACATACATTTGCATATTTTACAATTCTACAATTCTGTAAAGCGTAATAATTAGAGCTTAAATTGTATAATGTATAATAATGAGTTTAAATGCAGAGCCTCAAAGACTATAGCAAACTGCCTCATGTTACATTTTCATTATTGTCGATATTAGCTCCACCTATTATATCGAGTGACGAGGAAAAATTAAATATTTTTTGCAAATGTTCTATAAATAATTTGCAGTATATGTAGGTGATTTGGAAAATATGACGTTCAATCTTTAACTTAAAATTAATATCAAAGGTCTGTCTCATACCAAAATTTAATAAAAGATTAATAAAGTGTCCACCAAATGATCTCTTCAGCTGCAGCTATTAATATTATTACTCTTTACTAAACAAGAAAATGATTGATGACGAAATCGAGAGCAGAACTTTTTAAATGTAAGGACTACGCAGACTTTAACAAATTGCTTCATATTATCTAGCATTATAATCAATTTTAGCACCACCTACAATCTCGAGTGACCTGGACAAAATATATTTCTTTTTGCAAATGTTCTACGAATAATTTGCAACATATGTAGGTGTTCTTAGAAAATTTGACGTTCATTCTGTAACTTGAAGTTAATATCAAAGATCTATCTCATACCAAAAAATTATAAAAAATTTATTAATTGTTCGCCGTATGATCTCCTCCCTCAAATGCAGCTATTAATATTATTACTGTTAACTAAACAAGGGAATGCGTGATAGTGGAATCGAAAGTAGAACCCTTTAAAGAAGTTTCTGTAATGGTGACGAATTTTCAGTTAACGACGTTTGCGCTTTCGTGTATAATACATATCTGTTGGTTCCTAAGTTGAAAGTTTTTTTTCTTTTCTAGTTGCTTCAGTACGTATTTAAGAAGTATTTAGTATTTATTATTTTTAATTATGTTATAGTGGTTTTTAACTATTTTCATACTGAATTCGTGCTTTTTTTAAAATTTTATTTAATTCACTTTCACATATTTTCTTAATGCTCAAATATCCAGAATATATTCGCTGTGATCTTTATACATGTTGGAGCGTCATAACTGTTTATTTATTGATAATGGTATATTTTTTAAAACTGCTTGATAGATCAGATCAGTCCATTTCATTCGATCTAATTGAAATTAATAAAACAATTTTATTATTTAATTTATTATTAAGGGTATTTTGCATTAATTTCTCTGCGCATTTTCCTTCTTATCAAAAAAAAAATAATGTTTTGATATTAGCTTGTAAACCATTACTAACAAAAGTAAGTAAACAGTAACAGTAACAAAAGTAGTAAAAGTGTAAGTTTGTATAACATAAACTAACAGAAGATAATTGTAACTCAAAAAGTTTTTCTATAGTATCTATTTTATTTATTTTAAAATCAGAAATACACAGTTTGTTGAACAATTTTTTAAATGATTAGAGTGAAGAAAAAAAATTTGAGCGTTATTACAGATACATTTTATACCAAATTGTAATTCACAAAGCAACTAGTCAAATGTAAAATGCTTTCCAAAAGCTTTAGTGTAAACGACTTTATGCATTACACAAATTGTAAATCACATAGATTACTCAAAATGTTTGATTAGCATTAATTAATACAATTCAATAATAATTTAAATGCAATTATTATTTACAACATCCTTTGTTATTGGATAAAAATGTACATTTTTTTCAAGTAATCAGAGAAAATTTAATGATCTATTAGTTTTTGGAAAGTCAATAGGACGAGGATGAAAAATATTGCTATTTGAAAAACGGGACTAAAGATTCGTATACAAAAGTAATAATTTCGAAAAATCATTTTAATACAATATTAATTGTTGTTATATACTATTATTGCAGATGAAAATTATTGCTATTGGAAAAAACTAAGTTTAAAGATTCGTATACAAAGGTGATCATTTCGGAAAATCATTTCAATACATTACTAACTATATTATCAAGAATGAAAAATATTACTATTTGAAAAGCGCGACTAAGTTTAAAATTTCGTATACAATACTAAAAGTTTCGGAAAATCCTTTCAATACATTATTAAATTACGGTTAATACTGTTAAATAAATAAAATAAAATAAAATAAAATAAAATAAATAAATAAATAAATAGATAAATAAATAAATATATATATAAATAAATAAATAAATAAATAAATAAGTAAGTAAATAAATAAATAAATAAGTAAGTAAATAAAATAAAATAAAATAAAATAAAATAAATAAATAAAAAAAAAAAAATAAAAATTTATCTGTTTTTTAGCNTAAATAAAATAAAAAAATTAAAATAAAATAAAATAAATAAATAAAATAAGTAAATAAATAAATAAATGAAATAAATAAAATAAAATAAAATAAAATAAAATAAATAAAAAGATTTTTTAAAAGTACAGGGTAATGAATAAACCATTTGAAATAAACTTACCCTTTCGAGATCTAATTACGAAATGTCTATTACATAAACAAAAATAGCAACGAAAGATCAAATCTACTTAAGTTTAGTATTTACTAAAGATGCTAAAACTGTTTTAAAATTTATCTCGAATTGAAATTAATTTTGAAATTTAGATAAATTGATATTTCGTACGGAGATGATGTATTGACATTACGTACGGTTCAGTGTTCTATACCCCGTATCAACGCAACAACGCAAGCTCTGTTGTTGCTGCAATTTTAAACGATAGGGAAGTTGTCACACCTATCTTAACACAGTAAGTGCAACTGATAAGTCAATACTCTATGAATAAAAGATAACGTTGCTCTAAAACTCAAACGATCTTGAGTTTAATTTAATTTTGCGTCACTCGGAAAGCTTAATGTTAATTTTTTTATAAGAACATGTTGAAATTAAGAGCGAAGTTGTGATACAAAATGCGCACTAAAGTAAAAAAAATACTCATCTGAAAAACTTTAGTCTCTAATGAGCATCTACGATGCGCATTCGTTTGCATTTTGCTAAATTATGAAAACAAAACGGCGTACGACATTTTTACCTAAACCTTTGACAAAAACCTTCGAAAAAGAAATTTTTAGAATAATAATACTTTATTTTTTAAAATTCTTTTAATAACTAGTAATTTAAGTATATTTATAAAAACATGAATATTCATTTTAATTATTCTGAGAAATTTATGCAATAAACATAAAATGTTCTAAAAGTTGATAATTATTAAATTATTTTGTAAGTTAGAACGAATT